TTCTCGCGGCCTTGCATTGCACGAAAGAACTATACTTTATATCATATCAGCTGTTTATTAGAAATGACGTATTTGCAGGTACTATGACGAAAAATTATTGTTTGGTTGTGTGGGCTCCATTATCAGTTTATTATCGTTCACTATTGTAAAACCATGATTAAAATATAGGTGTGGTTTTTGCGAGATATGAAGTAAAGGAAACAAAGAGTATAATAAGTATACTATAGAAAGAGGGGCAACTCGCACAAAGTCGTGGATCCACGGCGATTGTGGCGCTCCATGCGTATAATCGCTGAACTAATTTTTTTTTTTTTGGTACCTATATACGTAGGCACGCTTATTTAGCTCACTATAATAATAACTAATAAGTGGGAATCTAATAAAGTTAAAATTGACATTAAATCAATGTTCAAAAATAATATACCCACTTATGTAGTTATTAATATAGTGAGCCGATATCAAGTAGCCTACTATGAAATACCTCTATTAAAATGATCCTATTATTATTTGGGAAATAAAAACAAAAAAAATTATAGTTTTGTACATTATTTAATATTTTTATACAACTTAAACTTTAATATATACAAGTATATACATCAAACCCTATCATGATATCAGCTCAATATTTTAATGTTTGAGATACATATTTAAAAATTCCATTTACTGTTATAAAGAGTATAGCGCGGTCACAAAAAATGCATACTCTTTTATTAAAAACCAAACCCCAAAATATTTTCAGTCAAATGCAAGCCGGCAACTGGCAATTTGTAGTTATAGCAAATTTAAACACAGTGAACATATACTCTTAGTTAGTTATTAAAAACTTAAAAATTAACAATAATTAAAATATCTATGTTAAATTTTAAATTGTCACAATAAAGAAAATGAATACACTTTACCCGAGTGAACTTGTTTAAATAGTTTATGCATTACATATACACATATAAACCCACCTTATAACTCTAAAGATGGGACAGCAAAACACTTCGGTTGGCTTTATTTTTCAATATATCATTTTTGGAAATAATATATCACTTCACATTTTACACAGCACAAACTATCGTATTTTCATAGGATCAGTGTCTTTTTTCCAGTGACTGACACACATTTTCTAGAAATCTCTGACCGTCTCTCAGGATGCGGAAAGCCGTGCATCTACAACAGATTATGATTTTCAGTCAAATAAGTTAATTGATACGTAAAAAGTATTGAGTTGAAAGAACCATTATATGTGTGTATTTTTAATCAATTAAAGGAAACTAATACAACACGGCTTTTGTAGCATAAATCACAATTCTGCTCATTATATCAACTCAATATTTTTAATATTCAGTATAAACTTTTGCAAATTACATTTGCTGTAACAAAGAGTATAGGACTGCCAAAAAAGGATGCGAGCTTTATGGTAGTGGCAATTGGCAGTTTCTTTCAGTTTTTTTATAATATTATAATATAGTATATTTTTTCTTTACATTTCAACATTAACAAATTAAATTTTTTTTTCAAAATTTCTGTTTAAAAATGAATACGATAAATAATATAAATACCTTCTTCCGGCATGTAGGGAATGTGTCAGGGAACGGCCAGCGGGAGCATGCGCTGATTAGCTGCAAGTCCGGATGCGCCACGCCGCATGCAGTCTCACACCGCCGCACCCGCCACAAATCATGCGTTTCCGACGTCCACAGCGCCTTCGGATCCTGAAATTATAAACCAAACGAATCATTAACAGTTCCTAAAACTAACGGGATCGCTTGTTAAGTTCAGTTTTATAAGCATTTATTTTATCTTTAATTATTATTTCTTGGTGTTGCTTACCAATGATTTTGCAATGGAATATTGATTGGATGATCACAGAATTTCTCATTTTTGCCATAAGTAGCGACTGGATTTAAACTATTGCTTTTTATTTTTATGAGTGTTATAATATATTTGAGCACTATTTTTTGTTGGATCATCTAAATCAGAATTTGTTATTTTTCCAGTTAGTATACGGTTTATATTTCGACACCAACTAAAAAGTAAAATATTTATTGATACATCTATAAAATAATTTTGTATGTTTTTTCCATGTCTATCGCAATTAATATGAAATTCTGTAAATATATTGATGAGAAATTTTATATGCTCTTTTGGTCTATTCTTTTGAACGTTTGTTTTTAAATACTTTGACGTTATTTTTTCGATTTCACAAAAAGTATTTGACATTTCATCAGAAGGGTAACATAGGCATTGTTTATTTGAGTCATATTCTTTCGCTTTTAAGTAGGAATTTTCTGCATTATTTACATTTGTATCAGTTAATATTCTTCGACACGTTTTGCAATTTTTAACCACCTTTTTAAAACATTTTGTTACCACCCAGCCACAAACATATCTTTTTAAAGTAATGGAGATGTCAAATACTCCCGTTTGTATATTAGTGATTGCCTCGAACATTTTTTCACTAAGTACAAAATTATTGTGAACTTCTAATTCATTTTGTTTTTTATTTTCTTTTAACAAAAATTGCAATGTTTGTAAGCATTCATTAAAATCTTCTTCGCAATTGGCATTAATAGAATGCCGACAAGTAAAATTATTAAGTAAAAGCGTTTTGAAAGCGCCTTCAAATGCTTGGCAGTTTGGTGAAATATTTCTTACTCCTAAGCTTCGAATATTGCCAAAAAAATTTTCTATTGGGTCCTGATTGAAATGTCTTGTTAACATACAATCCAGAGAATACCCTTTATTTAAAATGTTCCACAGTGTCTGCATACCTTTAATAGTCTTTATAAGGTTTTTTACTGACGGTGTAGATGACTCTATCAAACGGACACTATCGCCATATATTTTTTTTTTTATAAACTTGACACTTTCTAAAAACTGTATGGCATCTTGCCACAACTGGTGGTGCGGGGAATTACGTCGGACAGCTCCTCTATAAATTTTCCCATTCGGAATATGGAAAGTACCAGCATTTAGACTGTCGAATAGTTTATCCAACATTAAGACCATAGGTATTAGCTGACGGCACTCTTCTGGTAACATCTGTCTAGCTGTTAAATGGTCTGTTGTTACAGCCACACTGTGGCTAAACAGTTGGGCAGCAATTTTTACGCGCATTTTTTTAATTTTGTTTTTATAAACATGTTCTTCAGTCAGTTTGTGTAAGCATCTGAACACAAAACAAATGGTTAATAAAAAATATTTCTATAAATGTATAAATTAAAAGAGATGGAAAATTATTGAATATTATTACTTCAAATTAAATTAAATAATCTATGTATATGTATATAAACGGCGATTTTTAAACGAAACTTTTACTATAACCCGCAACTTGAGACCTGCAGCGCCCACAAGGGGACGTTATCGCCACTTTGGGAAATACTGGTCTAGAGTAAAATTAACAACACCTTTCAATTGCTCTGATCAGTCACTAAAATATGGTAAAGTGGTTGTAATATTTTACCTGAGCTCTCCACAAGTTTTGTCTGCTTCATAAAGCATTTCAAAATATTTCCATTTTACAATTTTCTGTTTGTTTCCATCCTTGTGATCTACATATTTTAAGTCTTTGTCTATTAAATTGTTTCGCAGACCTTTAAGCAGATGAGGTGTGTCATATAGTGGAATAATTTTTTTGTTATCTATACAAAATATTTCTTCACGCCATTCTTTGCCTTCCTTTAAAACAATTTCTTTTGTTTCGGCTACTAAACTGTTAATAGCACTAACATTTGTTGCACTTTGATCACAGACTGTGCACAATATTTGCAGACCCGTGCTGTGCACATGTTGAATTACTTCTTTTATTATTTTTTTAAGTTCAGGCATCTTCAGACTCTGTGTGAAATAGTAAGCCACAAGTTGCTTATAATTCTTTTTTATTCCTTTAACCATAAAAACCAATGCATGGTTAGCAATTTTTAGCCCATCGCTATGGCTTATAAAGCCTTTAAATTGGTCTTTAGCAGGATCAAATTGCACATTTGGCTCTAAAGACATCTCGTCAAAAATCAAAGTACACAGACGGTCTTGCACTTGAAGCCCACCTACAGTTTCATTTATTTTTTCAAAAATTGTTTTATTTATTCCGGGAGACAATTTAATCCCACTGAGCAAATTTTTTAGAGATTTTGCAGATGGCAATTTTAAATATTTTGAAAATAAGGAATATCCTTTTGGACTCTTTTTGTAGAGGGATAAAGCCATTAACTTTTCTTCTATATTGTACCTTCTACCTTTAGGCTTTTTCAAAGCATGGCGAAACTGAATTCCGGTTAAAATCTTTGCTGCTAATGTCATATTTGCTGTGACTTTTTTAAGTGCACTATTATCCGATAATGCCTTATCCATGGCTGACAAACGGGACTTATAATTCAACACTTTTTTCTTTGTCTTTCGCAGCTGGGTTTTTAATAATCGAACATTTTTCTGAGCACTTTTGTGCTTCATGATGAAATACTCTGACAATTTGTTATCTGTAAAATTTAAACCGATTATAAAGTAATCGAAATAAACTTCTCCAAACACACACCATACTGATTTTGAGTATTGACTTTCGCTAACTACCTACTAACCATTTATTTACCTACCTACCTACTATCATACCTAGTAATACCTACAAACTTAACTTACCTTTCTTAGCAGTTTGAGATGTTGAGGGTGGATTAAATTGATCAATAAATGATTGTTGAGCTATTGATTTTGAACCTGACAAATATTTAAATAGATGTTTACTTATTTTATAAATAGCAAATATTCCTACACATGTAGAAGTTTTAAGTGTACATAAAAAATGCATAGAATTATGAGTCACATCCGTTTTTGAGGTTAATAATTATTAACAAACCTGTATCTTTAAATTGCAATGGTGGATCAGACGTCTGGACTCCTTGGATACAATAGTTGTGCTCGAGTTGGACCAAAATAGCCGGAGATGAAGATATTCCTGTAAATATTAGGGAACTGTATTAATAGAAATAATTGGTTGT